AAACTTATTTTTCGACGAATGAAGTGATCCATTTGTGCGCGCACAGCAGAGTTTTGTTGGCGAAAATATTGGACGACCAAGAAATAGTCGAGCCTGCAGTCATTGTTATGCACAGCTTAATTATTAAAAAGGAGAAAAATCGAAAACATCGTCGCTGGTGGCAAACCCAAATTTTTAGAAATCGATATAATTTACTGCAACAACGTAGTGTCTGAGGAGGGCTATGATAAGTTCAAAAACTTTACAAGAATGACCAGACCCGACTTTGAATATTTACAAAATTTAATAACACCAAAAATTACGAACAAAAAATAAATTTTAGAATAGCAGTTTCATTAATATCGACATATTCAATATTAATTTTATTTACAAGATCTTGCCATGCGTTTTTTTTTATTTTTTAATAATACAAAGAATGTTTAATATCCCATAATATAGGCAACTTTTCATATTCTTCAATTAATAATAACGAAGATTCATTGATCCACTACATAATTTTAATAAAGAAAACGAAAAAAAAATCACAAACGCACGCACGAACGCAGACAAAACAAATTGCCGGTGCAAACTAAGCGTTCGCGCACACATAAAATCCCTTTGAGCACGGACCAAAAACCGACACCAGACGGCTCACGTTCGCGGCTGCTCGCGCACAGGCAGATTCAGAGTGAGCGTGCGCGCACAGCCGTTTACACTTGAGCATTCGCGGAGGATCAGTGCGTGCGTGCTCAAGTCTAAACGCACCATGTAGGGATTCATGGCACACAGGTGAGAGAGTTGATTTTAAAAACGCAAAAATTATGATAAAAGAACCGTTTGAAAACTAAACTCTAAACGAAAAATAAAAGGGGCTTTATATTCCTAACTATAATACTCTAAATCAATGTACTGCTCAGGCTCTAAGTAATTCTAATTCGCTTCTTTGATTTTAATAAACATAACATAACATAACGAAAATTTTCTATCGAATAAGTAAAAAAATACCGAGGGTGCCATTTAAAAATCAAAAGTTGTAGTCATTTCCGGTGAAACAGGAAGTGACCAAAAACAATTGAATACGTCAATCAATCCTAATTTATGTCACATACTAACATACTAAATGTCGTTTTTTATCTAAAAAAATAAAAAAGTTATAGGGGTGAGCCACTTTTGAGACGCACCCGGTATTTCTACTCCAGAAATACGTCTATTGTTTAAAAAAAAATTGAAAATTTGGAATTATTTGAAAAATTTTTTGCAATTTTTTCTAGTTTTTAGTTAAAAAGCATAATTACTTGATAATATGGTAACATAAGTGGTATATTAAATTTACAAGAAAGAAACCCCGGAAAAACCAGTGCTAGTGGTTTTCAAAATTTAAGTCAAACATCGTTTTTATTTAAGTTTCAAAGTAGAATAACTCGGTTATTTTGAACTTGGTAAAGAGAAGATATGTTTCTTTTATCGAAATCTACCAGCCCTGTAAATATTTGCACTTATTTTAGACTATAATAACCGGCACGAAAAACGTTCATGTATTCCAAAGTTTAATATATTTTGTTCTAGTGGGCCGATTTTGATGATTTCTTAAGCAATGTGTAGATAAATGATTTGACTTTATAGCCCTTTGTCCAAATTAAAAATTAAAAAAAGAAAATGTTATAAATTAATTCACAAAAATAAAAACTATCAATTTGTAGGAAATTACACGAGCTACAAATTAACCTCTATGGTTCAACAAATTTGAACTCTTGGTCTTGAACTTCATTTTTACGAGATTTTTGGGTTTTACGGGCTCAAAGCAGGTGATCCTTTCACTGTACGCTAATTGGTAATAATACAAACTAATTTTAGAATATGCTAAGAAATTTGTCTTATAAAACGACCCAATTAGAATCGAATACATTTAAATTTAATTATTTTCTTTTCAGTTACGTAACGATTCGATAAGCTCGAAAATATTGTAAATCTATTTAACCTCACGAAAGAACAATACCTATAATTACCATATAAAAGCGTGGCACCACGGTAGCTTAAATGTTTAACAATACAAACATAAATTCCTACTAGCGGTTAAATAAACATTTTTCTTTGTTAAATAAATGCTACACATGTGTACGTTTGTACGATTTCCTTGTAGTTGTATAACGGAGTTAAAGAGACGAATCGTGAATTCGACAAAATTGGATGCAGATATTAGGTCGCTGATTTACTTTATTGTAGATTTAAGAAATGCTATGCCGGTAGGTGTGCTTTATAGACTATGAAAAGGCGTTCGATAATGTTAAACATAACCTCCTTATATCATACCTCGGAGACTTGGGACTTGATGGAAAATATATAAGGCTCATTAGTAATTTGTATTGGAACCAAAAAGCTGAAATTCGTATACATAGCGTAGGGGTAACTGAAGATTTTGAAATAAAAAAGGGGGTAAGGCAAGGATGTATTCTGTCTCCAGTGTTGTTCAATTTGTATGTGGAAAGAGCCATCATTGAGTCAATCTCCGACAGTCCCATTGGTTTGAAAATAAATGGCAATCCAATTTTTTGCCTAATACATAAACATGTATCAGCTTCTCAAGAAAGGCCATCTCACACTTATCCACTCAGGAACGCGGAGCAAGATCTTTATCTACCTACCCCACGCTCATAGTTAGTTAAAAGTTTAATATTATACAACTCGAAAAAAATGCACAATCACCTGCCATTTGAAATCAAATCCATAACATCATTTTTTTAATTTCGCAAAGCATTGAACTCTTATTTACTAGACAAGGCTTTCTTCGCCGTAAATGAATTATATTTTGAAAATCAAATTTGATCTTGTCAACACTGGTCTAATGTTTGCTATTGCTATATTTACTAATGACATCGAAATGAATTTATTTAGAGGTCATTGATATTTTACTATAAACTAGCTAAATATTTTTGAATATTATTTTTATTTTTTGTTCTCTGACATTATAAACATTTATAAATGTTTATTTTAACAATAAAACTGACAATATTATTTGTATAATGTTTTGTATTATCTTTTGTTTGTTTGTTTGTGTACCTTGTTTTTTTAATTTGTTTGTTAGTTTACCTTTGTCTACAAATTGAAAAATGTTTTGACAATAAAGGCATTTATTTATTTATTTATTTACAATTAATAATATCCGATATGCGGATGATATTGGCAGACAATGCAAATGATCCCCAAATTCTTCTAAATAAGGTTAACAATGAAAGCCAAAGACTGGGTTTAAACATAAATACTACAAAAACTAAATTTATGGCTGTTAGCAGAAACAACATTCCAAACACCAGAATTTACTTAAATGGAGAGGTCATCAAGCAGGTCACCCAATTTAAATATTTGGGATGTATGGTTAACGAAACGTCCAGATCAGGAGATCAAATGCCGGATCGAACAAGCAAGATCTACTTTTCTGAAACTTCGAAGGTTTCTCACAGATAGGAACTTGAACTTCGGCCTTAGATACAGAATGGTGAAGTGCTATGTCTGGTCCGTTTTGTTATATGGTGTGGAAGCATGGACACTAAAGGTAGCAACAATAAACCGAATTGAAGCCTTCGAAATGTGGAGCCTACGACGAATGCTAAGAGTGCCCTGGGTCTCCCGTGTGAGGAATGAAGATATTCTCAGAAGATCTGGTCTAGAAGAACGTGAGCTCTTCGAAATCATCAAGAAGAGGAAAATAGCCTATTTGGGACACATGCTACGTGGAGGACGCTATCACTTTCAGCGTCTGATTCTCCAGGGTAAAATCGAGGGGGGCAAAAGAGGAATAGACCGAAGGAAGCTATCCTGGCTGAGAAATACTCGTCATTGGACAGGCATACAAAACTTCCAAGCACTCCAAGTCACTGCAAATATTTTGTTTTTTGACTCATGTCAACACACACACTGTTTTTTTTATGTTGTAGATTTATTTGCCAGTGGCAAAAAAAACAGACTTTTTATCAAGTATTAACAAAGTGTATTAACACATAACAACCATTTTTCAAGAAATTACTGTTTACACATTTTTGTTCTAATTATAGTAACAATTGTGGTCTACCATGAATGTTACCAGTAGTTAGACTATAATTTATGTAACGCTGTTTTCATTATCTAAACCTTAGATACACAGTAATAAAAGTAATTGCAACATTTCTTTAGCGGTGGCAAACAACATCCCATTATTTACCTTCGAACTTAAGAACAGAATGAACTTGAATCAGAGAAGCCATTTAGCTGAAAGTCTGGCTGACATTTCACGTTTAACATCTCCTTTTATTGTCTCTACAATTTAATTTGTAGAATTTGATTGTGATAAAAACTGTATTGCACTTCTCGGAATCTTTTATGTGATTCCGTTTCGTAAATATTAATTCGTAAAAATAAATTATAAATTTGAAATGTTTTTGTGTTAAAAATTCAACAGAAACTGTTTTATCATAATTTTTTCGAAGCAAAATTTATAATTAATTTAAAAAAATAAAAGGTTTCCAAATTTATCATTTTACTCAAATAACTATCTAGTTAACCATGTTCATTTTTAGTCAATAATGACATGTATTGACTATCTCCATTCTAAATATTTTGAGAATGGTTGCTCGTAGCAATTTTTACCAAGAGATATTTTTTACGTAAAAAATCATGGAGATTTAGAGTTTTTTGCTCAGTAGTTTTATACAGGTACGGACGAAAAGTTATTATCTTTCAAAACAGTTAAAACACAAGTAGGTGGCGCCCCCTAAAAATAGAAGTTATATTGACATCAAAATCAAATTTCTCATGCCAAAAAACTCTCAGACACCAATTTTCATCCAAATATTGACGTTTCTTCAGAAATTATTTGGAAAAAATCGAAATAAAAATTAAACTTCTACACCCTGTACCTCCGAAACTAAGCATTTTAGGACATACATTTATACGATTTTTTTTTACTTATTTTTATCTGCAGAATATGCTGTTTCCGGACTACAGTTCGGACCACTCTGTATAGAAAACTATATAAAAATGTCACTTACCTTTCCATATTTGTGACAGGCGTCGTTCGTATTAGCCGTCCAACTGTCAGTCTCCAATCTGGCTCGTTCCAGAGCCCCGGTGATCGAGTCGATTCGGGACCATTCGCGCACGTCGTGGTCGCGAAAGGGCGAGCCCTTGGGTGGTGGTGGGGGTACTGCCACTACTTCCATTATTCGTAAAAAATAGGTAAGAAATCGCGGCGCTGCCTCGTTGCGAATTGTTGCGTGTTTGGATGATGGCGGGCGTTTCTAAATGCTATTGAGTTTGACCTGGAACAAAAGAAGAAAAATATGAATTACATATAATCAAAGTGAACTACCCAGAAACACGATTTTTGCTTTGTTCTTTTTTATCGAAAAGTAACCATTTTAATAGTAATTTTAAATAAAATAAATGCGGAATATTTTAATTTATTTTTGGTACTATTTGACGCTACGGTTAGGTTAGGTTAGTTTAGGATTTTAACACAGGATGCATAACGCAAACATTCAAAGCAATCAAATTCGTAGTAATATTATAAGCTCTGGATTGTATGATGAGTTATAACTCAAGAAATATTAACTTTGGCACATGGCCAAAATGTTTGCATATTATATCGTTTAAAAATATACAGAAAGGAATTTAAAGAATCCTTTTTTATACATAGCTTTGATAATCTGTAATAAACATTTTTTTTAAAATGGATATGGTAAACAATGTTTATCTTTCAGACCCAATATTATTACAAATTCTTGCACATTTCGATTTGTGGTCTCGTGGGTTTCAGAAGAAATTTGATTATTGTTTTGGCCTTAAAATGCCTAGAAATATTATTTCACAGTTTAATAGAGCCAGAATAGTAACACTGTCTCAACAGGGCTACCGGCAAGTTGCAATAGCTGAAATTGTAGGAGTTAACCAAAGCGATGTTTCGCGAATATTAAAAAAAATCAGAGAGACAAACGAGGTTACAGACCGGCCTGGAAGAGGTAGAAAGATAGTTACTACTGCTGTCCAAGACCATCAAATATCCCTAATTGCACGAAGCAATCCGCTGCTTTCTAGTACTGCTATTAAAAATGAGTTAGCTCGCCTTGAAGGATTAAATGTTTGAAGAAAGACCATAGCAAGAAGACTCTATGACAGAGGATTACATTTAAGGAGGCCTCTACATGTTCCGAAGCTTAATTTACAGCACAAAATTACGCGACTACAATGGGCTGAGCAGATGAGAGCAAATGGACCTAATTGGAATTTCGTCATGTACTGTTTAGGGATGAAACAAGAATAGGCCTAGTGTCAGATTCGATTCCTAAACGAACTTTGGTCAGGAGATCATCTGGAAGACGAGCAGGCTTGAATGCATCTCAGCCCCGTGTCCATGGGCATCAGGTGTAATGCACGGAGCTCGAACTCCTCTTGTTTTATTGATGGCACAATGACAGGTGCCTCATATCTTAGAGACGTTTTAGAGCCTATTGTGCGTGTGCGTCCATTTCGAGGGGCAGTGGGCGATACATTTGTTTACATGGACGATAATGCTCCTCCCCATCGCACTTTAGCGGTTCGCGAATTTTGTGAGGAAGAGGGTATAAGAAAACTGTGGTGGCCACCGAAGTCTCTAGATATGAATGTAATAGAACATGCTTGGGACATGCTAAAACGTCATATTGCCAAAAGGAATGATCTCCCCCGGACCTTGAATGAATTGAAAATTGCTGCGCGCGAAACATGGGAAGCCATTCCTCAACATCTTCTGGACAACTTAATTGAGAGCATGCCACGTCGTCTTACAGCTTGCATTGAGACTGGAGGAGGCAATACAGACTATTAGTTGTGAGAAATAATTAAAATTGTTTTCAATATTTTTTGCTTAAAATGTAATTTGTTTCTGTTGATTTTCACTCATTATGAAATAAAATTATAATAACAGCCCAGTTGCACTTAGATTTTTAATTCTATATTAGTTAGTCGTGTAGTAAGCCAATATGTTCAAAAATATAAAAAGAATCATATTAGGTCCAAAATAAAATAAAAATATCGTTATATGCAATAATTATGGCCATGTGTGTATGTATAGTTCATACCAAATAAACTTTTAGTACCGTGATTAAGTTTGACCAGCATAACGTTATCCACTTTTATATATTTTCTTTTAATCAAAATATTTTAGGAAACATAAATAAATAAATTATAAATATATAAAAAGTTATTATTTATGTTGATGTCAACAAAACTCATCTTAACAACACTTCAGGGACATAAAGGGCCATTACTACCGCTTTCCCTTTCAAAATATTCTAATAAAGCTGCGATGCCTTTTTTGCTATTAAGCTATCTTGTACACTTCGCACTAAAAGAGGTTCTAAAAAGAACAATGTTTGACTGCAAGGTCTGCCAGTAAACATTTTTAAGTGTCAAAACGAATGACAATGGCAGGAAAAAATAAATAAATGTGGCAAATTGACATTTTTTACAGCAGAGTTACCACTTGAATCCCCAGCGGGAAATTTAAATTCCAGTTAGTCAGCCCGGCGCCGAATACCTCCATTGTTGGCAACAATAAATTTAAAAACCGCACCCTCGATTACATAACTAAAAGTTTAATTGATATCAAATATACTAGTACACCTTCACAAACAATGGCGTCCAAATTCTACGAAAAAATTTAGATTCTATGTACTTGTTTTATTAGTTTTTATGAGGTTGTCTATACGCTCTGCATCTACAGAACATATCACTATATGAAGATAACCTTTCCAGGATCTATTGAAAGCTTTAGGTTTGTTAAATAATAAAATATTAGGCAAGCTCAATGATGACATATGTATGATCTCACAGCCATTTACTAGAAAATTTCAAGATGATACTTTCTTAGAATAGCCAACCACTACCACTTAATCCTTCAAGCCAAATAATCATTCAAATTTTGTAAAATCCTCTATCGGAATCCCATTCGTAAACGATTCTTGGAATACACAAGACTAAGCTCATAATAAGCCCATCATCGTAACCATCCTTATTGTTTTTTTTTCTAACGAATCACAAAGGGGACGATACACGTCAACTTTAATAATCAGGGTTGGGTCTCTTGTAAATATTTATATCCTATCTAAATGATAGATAATAATAATAATAGATCCCGTATATAGTGTTTAACGCCTTGGGAGTAGCAAGGTACAGCTTGCTATACTAGAGCCGTTCGGTATACAATGAAGGTAATGTGGCTAGCACTACGCTTCAACCGCCTATTATTACATCAGGATTGTGAATCCCAAGTACTCATTTAAGGCTGAGTCGACCTAGCTACCCAAACTATTTTTATTTTAAATAAAAATAGTCGGCTGATGAAATGCCGGGTGTGGGATTCGAACCCACTACCTTGAGATTGGTAGACGAGAGCCTGTACCTCTACGCCACCGGACACCTTAACTAAATGATAGGTACTATTACAAATCAGATCTATTTGAATCACTGAAATGTATGCGTTCATATAGTGTGCCATTATATTCAGCAAATCTGTATTTTAATCATAAGAGAAAGATCAAAGTAGTTGACATTACTATATGATATTACAGTTGAATATTGGAACCTGTGGTGTTACAATAACAAAAATAAAAACACTAATTTACCACAATACAGTAAAACACTTTTCTTTTGCACTGGACGCGTGTCTCGCTATGTTAGCATCATCAGCAGATGATTAACTAATTGATAAACAAAGACACAAAGAGATATACAGGGTTGTTCACCACATACGACACGGAGTATTGTAGCTAAACGATTAGATATTTACATTTTTTTTACTTTACTTTAATTGTAAGTTTTGGGTTCGTTGAAGGATTATTAGAGCTGCAATAATAAATGTGGTCTAAATTACAAGAAAATGCATTTTCTACGAAAACTTGAAGAGATAGGTAAAAAATGGCATAATACAATTTGATAGACAATTAAATTGTGCATCTGATTCTCGTAAAATATACAGTGTGTTCCATTGAAATTAAACAAGTTATTGCCGTTTAAAGCTAATAATTATCTAATAAAAATTTCTAGACACTCTGTATAAGGTAGTATTTTGTTTATTATTGCTACAGAATATCTGATCAATAAATAAACTTCAGTAAATATTTAGTATTAAAAACTTTGATACCCTAGGATAAATGAAGCCTTAAAAATTTTACTACAATTTCATAAAATTGAAAATATTTCAAAAACGTTAAGGTTTAAGTGTGATAAACCTTAATCAAATTTACTTTTATTACAATCGTAGAATCTAAAAATAGAATAATATACAGGGTGTTCCATTTAAAAAAATACAACTATAATATTATTTGAGGCACTTTGTATCTTGTAAAAATATTTTTAAATTGTAGCTCTAATTGTTCTTCAACGAACCCAAATCTTAAAATTCGTAAAAATCTAATCGTTTAGCTACAATACTCTGTGTCGTATGTGGTGAACAACCCTGTATATTCCTAAATGTGGTGAGCATGGTTCATTTTTTTAATAATTATCAGGAACTCTAAAAAATAGGTATAGCATAACTTTGTGGAAATTGTTTATATGAATGATTTGGTACATTACTAATTTGTGAAGTACGATTGATGCTTTCTCTCAATTGCAAAATATTGTATTTTAAGTATTCTTAAGTATTTTCTTTTGCCAGATATATGGAAAACAAAAGTCTTCTATGAGTCCAGCAAAGAAAACATAATTATTTATTATAGATATCTGTATTTCTTTTAATCTAGAAAAAATAATTCATTGTGAACAATGAACAATTAAGGTTTTGCCCATCCCTGATAATAGTGAACCCACTAGGCGTTTTTTCCGCCTCATCAAATCAAGGTTCTTCTTGTCAGATAACAATAGAAAAAAGGACACTTTTTTGTTTCGCTTATTGTAGGGGCGTTAAAAACCACATTATAAAAGGATTAATTAATTTGATGTGTCGGATAGGGTCAGATGATAGTTCCGCTTATAAAGCTTGTTCCTTCTGAAATTCAGATTATTTTTTAGATAGAATGAATTCCACAGGTATATATTTTAACGTCAACTGAAAAATAGATATTATAGTTTTAGGATATTTTTTTCAAAATATAAGTTTTTTTTTAATATTAAGTTTGGTCTGAAATACATCAATAAAATTAATGATTTGAGATTTTGGGCGATGATTACATTCATTGTTATTTGTAGTGCATGTATTATTAGTTATGAAAATACAGATTTATGACATTTTTGTGATTTGGACCACATATGATCTGCAATGCCCGACTTCATTGTTTCACCT